AATGCTGGCTCCCTCAGGTCTTAGACCTCCTCTTGCTTTGATCTGAGAGAGCATTTTCAGTCTCTAGATCAATGAGAGAAAGTGGTAGCTGTTTTTCATATTCCATATTTCGATACACTGTCGTCACCATCCCCCTGACGCCCTGACAGTTTGGGAGGAGTGTAGCCTCACCTGACTTTGGGCAGATACAGACCAGTTACCCTCTTGTGATTCTGTCTGGACCCCCAAATTAGTGGGACCATTTATAGGACCCTCTTTCCCTCCTTGTCTTCCATGCCTCCTGATTGCACTCACAGGTGAGAAGAGGGCTTTTTAAAGCCAAATGTGAGAGTAGATACTGCCCAGCCCCACATTTGCAGGTGGGAAAGAGTTGTATCATAAGGAGGCATACACAGGCTCTTGCTGACAGAAGCAAGTTTTTTGTCTGCTGAGTAGGTCACCCTTGTGAGGAGGGAGCCCTTAGCCCACACAGACCCCTGATAGTGCCTTGGACTTGGTGGTAGGTGACTGCCCCACTCACCTGCTTTCTCCTCTGCACCGTACCTACCCATGGCATTTAGAGTTAGCACCTCTCTCTCTGCCTAAAGCAGAAGCCAGCAGGTGTGGGAGGTCAAGGGACAAAGGCCACAAGCCCATGGCTGAGCAGAAGGGGCTCTGTTTGCTATACTCCTTTGACCTTGGACTGACCCGAGTTCTCCTAAGCATCACTGGCCTGCTCTAAAATCTCATGTACCAAATGATCACAGGAAGACCCGCAAATGAATCCAGACAACACTGGCTCCCTTTCTCCCTGGGGGAGCTCAGTCCAGTCCTGAAGACCACCTGTTAGCATAGCAGAAGCATACCAAAACCTGTCCAAACCAGCTTAAGGGCAGCTGTGGGAACTTGTTCTTTCTTTCTTAAATGCTTACTCTTTTGTAGTAACACATGGTAATAAGAGTTGCAGTTGTTAGCATTTTAAACTCTGGTGTCAGGTGATATTGGCTTGAAACCACTGAGTTGCCCCTGACCTTGGTCTTGGGCGGCCTTCTGTCCCTGGGCTGTAGCACCCACTCAGCTAGCAGGGATTCTCGGACCTGGAGCGGGGGCTCCCCCAGGGCTGCCAGGCGCTTCAGTGTCTCTGCCGTCCTTCTTTGCTGCAGAAATGCATGGAAATGAAGAACACCATCCTGGCCCGACAGAAGGAAATGCACAGCTCCCTGGAGAAGGTAAAACAGCTGATCCGCCTCATCCACGGTATCGACCTCTCCAGATCCGTAGACTCTGAGGCCACTCTGGGGGCCATCTCCAATGGCCCGGACTGCACCCCCCCTGCCAACGCCGCCACCTCCACGCCGGCCCCCTCTCCCTCCTCCCAGAGCTGCACAGCGAACTGTAACCAGGGGGAAGAGACTAAATAACAGAGCCCCGCCAGGAGAAGCCACCACGGGATCCCGGCCGGCGGCAAGGAGGAACAAAACACTGAAGACTCTAGAGAAGCAAAGCTGGATTTCTTCTGGAAAGTACAGAATTCTTTAGGTTCTTTGGTTCCAGAGAGAGAGAAGATGCTTGTGCCAGGTGGCACCAGAGTTTGCCAATTGATCCTTCTTATTCTGTGTGTACATGCAAAGATTGGACCATGTTACATGAAATAGTGCCAGCTGGAGGTTCTTTGCCAGCACCATGCCAAGTGAAATAATATATTTACTCTCTCTATTATACACCAGTGTGTGCCTGCAGCAGCCTCCACAGCCACGATGGGTTTGTTTTGGTTTTGTTGGGTGGGGAGCAGGGACGGGCAGAGGGAGGAGAGCAGGTTTCAGATCCTTGTTTGCCGAGCCCTTGGTTTAGGTAGAGAAGACCAGTCCAAAGAGTTTGTGGGCTTTCCTGTTTCTAAACGTTCACTACTATAAAACCAAAAAAAGGAAATTGAGATTTCACCAGTCCGAGTGCCCAGAAAAGAGGGGTGGGGTGGGGTTGGGGAGGGGAGTTGGGGTGGGGAAAGTATATCAAATAAGCAGTATTTCATATGGTTTGGAGTGGGGCATAGTACAAGGAGAGAAGTACCCCAAGGAGAGCCACTAGGTCTTTTCCCAGAGCAGGCCACTCCCCGTCGCGGGTGCCCCCCAACTCCCAAAGCCTCGTGCTCGCCCATCCCTCCCTCCTCTGGTGGAGTGGCGTGCACCCCTGTGGACAACCCGGTCACCTCCCCTCTGTAAGAACAAGCAGAGCAGGGCCATCCCCCCGCCCCAGCTCAAGGCCAGGAATACGTGGCGGGGAGTGTCCAGGAAGGAAAAAAGGCGGATCAGTGATTTTACTTGAAAACAAGCTCCATCCCTTTTCTATATTTATAAGAAGAGAAGATCCCAAGTGAAGCAGCACGCGACCCAGGTGTGTGTGAATTGAATGGAGACGTTTCTTTCCTCTATTGTTTTGTTTTGTTTTGTTTTTTGCTCATTTTTTTTTTCCTTTAAGCAAAGTTTTATTTTGTTGTTTATTTTGCCTTTTTTTTTGGTTTAACACAAACTAAAATAAGGAATAGAAAAGCTGTTTTTCAGGCTGACAGTCCACTTAAGGGTAGTTGAGACCTTGCATGGTAGAGTAGGAATCTTAGTGTCAGTGAGGTCCCGTGAGTCTTTGTGAGTCCTTGTGTCATCGTTTGGGGCACTGTTTTTTTATGCAAGGGCAAAAATCTTTGTATCTGGGGGAAAACAACAACAACAACAACTTTTTTTTTAATTAAAAAAGGAAAATAAAAGCTACTGAGGTCTTCCTAGTGTTACTTAAATTAAGATCAAGGTAAGAAACATTGTAAAAAAAAAAAAAAATTTACAAAAGTGCTATTTGTTTCCTAAAAACAGTGATTTCTATTAAAAAGGTGTCAGAACTGGAGAAAATGCTGTGTAGTTACCATTTTTTAGCACAGAGCCTGCTGATCATGACAACAGTTTGCTGTTTGTGTCTCAAGACTGGTGGGCTGGTCTCCATGATCTCTGCCCCAGAGAGGCTGCAGCCCTAAATGCAGGGGCCTCCTCACCCTCCTTCCCGACAGTCCTCTTCTTGGTGCAGGTATCTTGTCTGCTCCCCTGGTTTTGAAGCCCCCATGGAGAGTGGATGGTTTCAGAGCCCTCCCCCTTGTCCCCTCAGTTCAGGAGGTTTGGCTAGAGCAAAAGGCTGGTGCCTACATAAGATCTCTTCCTTTGGTGCTGCTCTTGGTCTTTCAGTCACCAGCATTCTGAGTGCCTGGGGACAGCTTGAAGGGAAGTGGGCTGTGACACCCAGGGCTGCCCATACACCCTGGCCTTGTGGGGGGAGGGGGCAGGCTGGCTGCAGCTGCCCTTGGTGCTTAGAAAGAACAAAGAAAGAGCAAGTTGTCTCAAGGATACAAGGTGTCTCAGAGAAAGGAGCCCTGGGTGGGGGGTGGCCTTTGAGTTCATCTTGCCTGTGAGATTGCCTGTGAGAAGTCAGAATCTCCGGCCACTTTCTCTGCCTGCTGCCTCCAGGGCTAGAGGTCCCAACACCCACTCATGCTGCTCCCCCAGCCCCCAGGCCTCCTGGATCCCCTTGGCTAGAATCTCTGCGCTTGCTTTTGCTTGGCCCGTTGTGGCCACTTTTCCTTTGTGAGAAAACCCAGGGTTCTGAGATACTCTGACCATTTCTAACATCTTGCCTTGTAGGAAATCCGTTGTGTAAGGTGCGTGCCCTTGCACCCCAAGCCTTTGGGAAAACCTTAGGCACAAAGAAGCAAAAATGGGTCCTGGAAGTAAATGCAACAGAGAAAGACACTTTCTAGAGTAAAACTTATCTCGTCCGCACCACCTGTTTCCTGTCTTCCTCCTGGGGGGGAGACAAGAGTTAGGCTGCACTGGCCATTTGAGTCTGAACAAGGGGCACAGAGCGGAGCCCCTTCTCCTTCCCAAACTTAGGCACTGCAGATGCCTGGACTAGACTGAGGAGGAGTTGGCCTTGGGCTGCACACCCATTCTTGGGCTCTTCCGTTGACTTGTCTGGGCCCAGCCCCTGAGGCTTGCCAGGCAGTTGCTGTCTTTTCTTGAAGGAAGTTAGGGAGCTGTCATCACCAGAGGCCTTTGCTTGGAGGAGCTGCTGGAGGACTCTCAGGTAGAGGTGGGGCTAGGGGATGGGTTGAGGTGTGGATTCTTCCCCAGGTTCAGATCTAAGAGGTTTTGTGACTTGGTTGACAACAGAACCCTGCCCGTAGCCCCACAGTCCACACTCAAATTCCCAGACCCTGCTGGCATTCAAACTCCATCTCCTTCCTGCTCCTTAATGTCCTCCCAGACCACTGGAGCCGCCCCTGTCCTGACTGCCTCCAGCCCCTCCTCCCTGTCTGCAGCTCCTTCAGCCACATGACTGAGCATGGGACTAGCCAAAAAGGTTGGCAGTTCAATTCCAAGCAGAGGCACTTCAGAAGACAGACCTGACGATCTGCTTCCAGAAGGCCCCAGCCTTGAAGACCCTGTGGAGCAGTTGTACTCTGTACACACAGGGTCACCATGAGGCTGTGTGGACAACAGCGGCACCCGACCACAACAAATGTCAGTCATTTTGGGGTTGGGAGGAGTTGCCCTCGGGGCCTTGGCTAGGAGTGCTCCTTGTCAGACAGGCCCTGGAGACAGTGAGATCATGTTCCTGTCATCAGCTCTTTCTTCTTGCCGCCTGCAGGCCCTTTTTCTTTGTGGAGCTTGCTGAGTCTTGTCACCTTCTGCTGAGCTCACCCAGAGCTCCTCTTCCTTATGGGGCAAATCTGCTGCTTGTACCTGGCAGAGAGACCCCGTTCTAGCAGTGTAGGGGCTGCCCTAGAGCTGTGACCCAGCTCTGAGGTGGATGCCAAATGTACCACCCCAGGGTCCACTTCCTGTGGGCCTGCCCTCTGCTACTTCCCCCGCTGCTCTCAAGTTCTTGACTCAGACTCTGCGGGCTGAGGGAGGGAGAGGCAGTTAGCACTCTGACACTGTCACTCTGGGGGGGCCACAGCTCGAACCCCCAGCTCCCAGGCAATCAAGTGATTTCTTCTTATACCGCCTTGTAGGGAGTGGTCTGGCCAAGGGAGTGGTCTGGCGTCTTGATCCAAAGGGCTCAATGTAGGAGCTCTCTGTACCCCAGAGGCATGAAGAGGCTCTTTGGGAGTCCAGGTTCCCTAGTTGATATTAGACAAGGCAACAGCTTAGCTCTGGGGAAGCGTCTGCCCGGGCCTCACCCCAGCCTCAGCTAGGCAGGCTTTATAGGAGTCTTTCTCACCTGATTTACAACTTGTCCTCAATATCATTGGATCCTCTCCCAGGAAGGTGTGGGGCGAAAACACTTAAAACTCTTGTCTGAGACTGATGGGCAGGGCTCACAAATCTCATTTCACACCTCTGCCCACCAGGCCCTGTGGCCCAGTGTGGTCCCATCCTCAGTCCTGGGTCCGCTTAAGTCAGGCAGGGCAAGGCAGGTCTAGGCAGGCCAGAGGTCAGCCAGCTCTGAGGAGGAAAGAGCCAACCAGCCCCAACCCTGTCTCTCTCTCTCTCTCGTCCACGCCCTTTGTGATTTCAGTCTTGGTAGAACTTGTATTTGGAGTTTTGTGCTTCAAAGTTTTTGTTTTTGTTTGTTTGGTTTTTGTTTTGAGGGGGCAGGGGGATACAGAGCAGCTGATCAATTTGTATTTATTTATTTTAACATTTTACTAAATAAAGCCAAATAAAGTCTCTCAGCCTCCTGGTGTTGGGTTTGGGGTCCGGCGGTGGGGGATGGGGGGAGGACAACCCCAGTGCCAGTTTTGGCCCTCCCTTGCCTCATGCTGTTACCCTGCTGGTGACTGAAGCCAGACGGAGGTGTCCCAGAGAGCCCTTGATTTCCCCAAACCAAGAAAAAATTTTAAACTTTACGAAAATGTTGAGATGGGGAACCAGCCCCAAATAGGCTAGAGCATGGAAGACTGGGCCCCAGTTAAGAGAGCAGCACGTCCCTGCCTGGCACCCAGGCCCACTCCCAGAGGCTCCCCCAGCCCTTAAATAAATAGCAGTGAGTGTGGATGGGAGGGGCGAGGAGTGCAGTGTTCAAGGGAGCCCTGGGCTCAGGTCACTGGCAGCGTGGACGCTTGGGGCTGCCGCAGGGCAGTGAGGTACTTGAGGGCCCCAGCCCCATACTGGCGGGACAAGTCCTGGTGGAACTCCTCCTTGAGGGCTTGCAGGCAGTCCCGGTAGGCGGGGCGGGAGCGGAAGTGGGAGAGGTCCAGGCTTGGTGCATGGGGCATGTGGATAATGAAGGCTTCGGGCAACACCAGGAACTCATATTCCTGGGGGGGGGGCGGAGAAGAGACAGTCAGTGCTGGACTTGGGGAACCCCTTGAAACCAAAACAAGGACAAGGGGCGGATGAGAGAATTGCTGTCCTATGGGGCAGTGTGCCCCGCAGAGGTGGCATCAGTTCCCTCTACCTGGAGGTGTACAGATCAAAGCTGGAGGCAACAGACCACCCTCTCACCTGTGCATCCAGCTCCACAATGTGGGCCACCTTGTTCCAGCCAAAGCCCACAAAGCGAATGTCATAGAGGGGACAGTCATGGGACACTACCACATACGGCTCGTAGTCGGCTGCCCACTGCACTCGGTACGGGGCCTGAGCCTCCCGCCAGCGGACATAGTCGGTGGGCGCATGACCCTGGGGCCACACATCATACCTGGGGCAGGACAGGGTGGGGGAGCTCATGAGTCATGGTCCAGTGGGGGGAGCGTGGACAGAGCAGGGGTCTCTCCTACCTGAAAGGGTAGAGAGTGCCAGCATCCAACAAGGCCAGCACTTCCGCCTTGGAAGTGGGGAAGTTGAGGCGGTAGTGCAGGCTCTCGAAAGCCGGGACCACCAGAGCCACCTTCCGCTGGTTGGGCAGTTCCGACTGCTTGATGAAGGCCCTGGAAAGAGGAGGACATGTCGCCCTGATACCCAGTATAAGATGTGAGCAGAGCCGCTGTTGGAAGCACTTCCTAGCCTTGCTTACTCTGAGGTAACCCCAAGAACCATGTGGACCACCCCCCCCCCAGCCCTAGCTTCCCACTTCACAGAGGACAGACACTGCGACTCAGAAAAGAGGTCACAGGGTGCACCCCCCACCCACACACACACACACGTGATGCCTCAGTCCCTCCTCAGGCCCACCTGAGGTAGTCGTAGAGGGAGGTGACAGGCAGGAAGTCGATGTCACTGAGGAAGACGTGGGATGTGACGACCTGGGTTAAAGCCACGTTGCGGAGATGGTTGACAGGATAGAGGGGACCCTCACGGTACACCATATGGTAGGCTACGTTGTACCGAGCAGAGAGCACCGGCGAGGTCTCCACAAAACGCAGGAACTGCTGGGCCTCTGCGTCTGTCACATACAAGGCCAGGCTCATGGGGCCCGACCAGTGGTTGCACAGAGATTCCAGCATCTGCATCCTGCGGCAAGGGGGGTGGTCAGCCCAGCTCAGCCCCTCTCACAAGAACCCAGGAAGAGCTGGCCACCCTTTCCCCTACATGAGCTGCTGCAGGTGACTTACTGACTGAGCACCTACAAGTGCCTTTGGGGGCTGGACCTTCTTCACAACTACCCCCACGACGTGGACAGATCAAGAGTCCCAGAGACATTAAGACTTGCTCATGTTCCCATGACTATTGATGGGCAGTAACTTCTGGGTATATGAGAGACTCCAAAACCTCTGGGCTCCCTCGAGGTCCCCTCACCGGTCTATGGAGAGCTGGGCCACCAGGGTGACATCTTGATACAGAGACCGTGACATCAGGAAGGGCCTGAAGTTGAGGTGTACACGGGGCACCACAAGCCGCTGCTTCTGGAACTCAAAGCAAGTATCTTCCTCGTCCAGTTGGACCAGGGCCTGCTGCAGCTAAAGAGAGGTAGGAGGTCATGTCCCCAAGACAAGGCTGGGACCTGCCAGGGCAGGGGACTAGGGAAGGGGTGCTCTATCTCACCTGCTCAGCCTGAGGTGAGAGCTGGCTGGGGCACCCAAAGAGTTCTCTCCGTAGCAAGTTCCCGTCATATTCTAGGAAGGTCAGGTAGAGGTTGCGGAAGAATTCCACATGCTTGCTTTTCACCCGAAACTTCTTCGGCGAGTTCCAGTGGATCACCTAGGGGCCAGGAGGGTGTTGGTGGGGGTGAGGATAGTAGGCAGGAGGCTCTGTTCTCTGCACTACCCCCATCCTTGAAGCTTCCTGCCCCACTCACCTTGAGATCAGCGGCCTGGGAGTAGCAATGCTCAGACAGTGTATGGTCTGACAGCTGCACATTCCAGATGCAGGGCAGAAGCAGAACCATCTCCGGACGTTCCTTGATGATGGCATTGAAGACGTCCTGGGCAGGGACAGCTGTCATGTTTCTGGTGCCAAGCCTGCCGCCCTCCGCCCTCTCAAAGGTGCCCCCAGACCTGGTCGGCCAGAGAGGTGACGGACAGGGTGAGGAGCAGCCGCCTGACTGTAAACTCCCATATCTGCTTCCAGCTAACCTCCCGAAGCTGGTCGAGTTGCAGGAGGATGACACCTGCAGATAGGAGGTGGTCATGCATACCCGAGGACAGGCAGTTCGTTACTGGGCTTCTGGGGCCATGAAGTCTTTAGAAGGCTTTTTTTTCCCCCTTGTATTTTCTAACTGTTTACACATAAGCATGAATTATTCTATAAACAATCAATCTTCTTGGGGGTAAAGGGGAGTGCATCCCAACCATCTTCCCCCACTCAGTGATCCCAAGACTGGTAAGATCATACCCATTTAATAAATGAGGAAAACTGAGACTCAAAGGGACCAAGAAACTTGGCAAAAGTTATGCAACATGTGAAGGCAAGGTTGGAACTGTTTGCTGGCTATCTAGTTTTCTTTCTGCAACATTAGTCTTCCAACGGGGTTGGCTGGTAGATGGTTCCTAGCATACTGTGCCCTGCCCAGCCCCTTTCCCAATGCTGTCCGCACCTGTGTTAAATCCCCGGCCCAAAGCGGGCCAGGGCTTGTGGTTCTTCCAGAGGTTGCCCAGGTACCAGTTGCTCTGGTTCTCCACAAGACCGATCATCTGCTTGTCTGGGAGGGGAGGTCACAAGGAAGCTGCCTGAAGCTGCCTCAGGACCGTGGCCAAGGGATAGGCCAGGGTAGGGGAATGGCTGCGGTGGGGGTCCCAGGCCTCTCACCATTAAAGTGAGCAAAGAATGCCCAGAGCTCCGCGATATCAGAGGTGAAGGTGACATCTGTGTCGAGGGCAATGACATGGGTTACATCCGGAGGCAGGATGTAGGGCAGCATTAGCTTCAAGAACCCATAGATGCCAGAGTAGTGTGTGTTGGCGATCCAGGAGACATGTAACTGTGGGGGTGAATCAGGGCAGCAGAGATGTGCCATTGAATATACACTTAGGGGACAGTGGGCAGGAGGGATGAAGGATCTGGGCTTCAGCAAATGTGATGGGAGGGGGGGTCCCAGGCAGCTCTGACCGTCTGGGGAGAGAAAAAAGGCAAAGATCCAGAAAAATCACGGCTCCTGCCTGGTACTCTTCAGAGCTGTAGTAGCTGACCAGGAGGGCAGGTACCATCCACGTGTTGAAGAGGGTCTCCAGGATGTTTCTGGCCACGTCATCAGTCACCAGGTGGAGATGCAGTGGGTTTTTCCTTTGAAGTGGACAGGGGAGGAAGTCTGAAGGCCTATCAGGAACCGTACAGACAAGCCTCCCCCGAGAAAGGTCCTGAGGTGGAAGCAACACTCTTCATGGGAGGAAGAGGACACTGTCCCCATGTCACAGATGGGGAAGTTGAGGTTCTGAGACCCAGAGACTTGCACCTGTTCCCCCTCTAACCTCTCGAACTGACACCAGACTTTACCTGTAGAAGAGTATGGACTTCACCAACGTGACCACATCTCGGCTGGAGTTAAATCCTGCACACACGATGGCCACGTGTAGGAGCTGGAGAGGGGACACCCAGGACACCAAGTAGCGGTGAGGACCACTAGTTGACTGGCCTGACCTCATTGTCCCACTCAAGGGTCAGAGCTAGGGAAGAGGAGACAGGGCCAGAAGCCCATGTCCCCTAGTTTCACAAGCGAGGAAACTGAGTTTGGGAGCAGAAGTACAAATCCGAGGCTCTTCCAGCTGGCAGCCTAAGGCGCCCCCGTAAACGCCAGGTGGTATGATTCCCACAACGGTGAGTCTGGGCACAGATGTCCCGGCAGGGGACGCGGTGGCCCCGGGGTTGCCGCCACCAGGGGCAGCGCCGCGCACTTACCTCGCACTTGGGTTGCAAGGACCGCAGCGGGACGCTTGTTGAGCAGTTGTGGTCCCTCGGCAGGTCTCGATCGAGCGCAGCAGACTCCCGCAGTCGCTCGTCTGGGGGAACACGTGGCGTCAGCCGACAGGACAGGGACCCGGGGATCCCCACTCACCGTCCCAGCTCGCTGCGCTCACAATCCAGGTCCCCGCCAAACAGGTGGAATCCGACCAGTAGCAGTAGCAGCAGCAGCAGCAGTAACAACAGCACAGCGGCCCCCAGCGTCCGGGGCCGCCCTCGGAGCAGCATGACCGCCCGCCGGGGCGATCTGGGCGGGGCGCGCCCCCGGGCAGCGGGTTCCAGCAAGGGCCCTAGGGAGCAAGCAGGGAGACGTGAGGGTCAGGCTTGGACCGCGGGGCCCGACGGCCGCTGGCCCTCGTTCCCGCGCTGCGTCGCCACCCTCACCTGCTCCGATGGCCCAGGGCCCGGACCCTGCTCCTCTAGAGACCGCAAAGACCCAACTAGGGGGGGTGAGGCGCCGACCCGCCCCGTCCCAGCCCGAGTCGGCTCCGCCCCCAACCTGGGCTCAGGTTTCACCTCCGCCCGGCCGAGCCCGAAGGGGCGGGGAGACGCCAACTCCACCTTCCCCTAGCCTTGGGGGCACCCGGGAACGTCCTTTCCGGGCAGAGTTTCCCTTCTAAACTGGGGAGGTGGCTGGAGGGAGCCACCAGGAAGTCCCAGTCCCCTTTACCTGCTTTCGAGTCTACCCAACTGTTTCCAGCTCTGGGGCCCCGTCTCCTCCGCTCAACCGCCCCAGGAGCAGGGGCCCGTGACCCTGGCTGGTGGGATCAAAGGGATGATCAGAGTGCGGCCCAGCTAAGGGGGAGGGGACTGGAATTCAGGGCCTCAGGGGTCGACTGCACCTGCTCTCAGGACAGGAGGCGGAGCCAACCCAGACCTGCCCAGGAGTCGCGGAAGACCTGGAGCCCCCGCCCAGAACTCAGCCCAGGTGGCCCGGCTGGCGGCGGCCCCGGCGCGGCCGGGACAAAGCGGCCTTGTGAAGTTGTGCAGGTTGCCTCCCGCCCCGGAACTGACCAAAGACCGCCCTGAAGTGGGCGGCCGGGCTGGGCGCAGCTGGGGATCCCCCACCTTGATCGGGACTGGGGAGATTGAGCCCAGGTCTCTTTCTCTGCCCGCCCCTCTCACCCTCGAGGGGCTGGTGGACGCTGTGGACCCTGAACAAAAACAGTGACTGCCGACTGAGCTCTCGCTCGGTGCCAGATTCTATGCGGAGGGTTGGACATGCCTCACCTCAGTTAATCCTCAGGGCAGGCCTATGACACAGTAACAGTTCTCGCCGGAGACTTGAAGTGACAAGAACACCCCTGGCCCATTTGTATCCCCCTAAAAAATATGTATTGTGAATCCCCATCCCTATACTCGTTGTTGTTATGTTGTTGTGAAGTGCTGTCGAGTCGGTTCCGACCCACAGCGACCCTGTATAGGCTTTCCAAGGAGCAGCTGATGAGCTTGAACTGCCGACCTTGCAGTTCAAAGGGCTTCCCAGTCTGGGGCATTAACCCACAGCGCCACACCAGAACTCCTCTATAGTCATACTGGTTATAATCCCCTTTGGAAATGGGTTTCTTTTGTTAAGTAACCTCAGTGTATGATACGCTTTTTAAAAAGAGAGATTGTGTCCGAGAAGTTAGCAGAGATGGGGGAAGACAGATGCCAAATCTGGGAAGCCCTGTACAGGGTCGCTGTGAGTGGAAACTGATTCCATGCCATGTAACCACCAACCACAGAGAACGAACATGCTCTAATGCACGGCTCTAATGCACGGCCTTCCACAGTGCAGACAAAGCCTTGTTGCTTCTCTTCTCTTTTTCATTGTTTCTTGGGCTCCGACTTGCTCTTGACATTCCTTCTGCTTGGAGTGCATACCCTCACAAGGCTGCTCCTGGCTTCTCCAGAGAGCTTCATCAGGCCTGGGATCTGGTGACATCCTGCATGACTTATTTGCTTTTAAGCTATATAAACTGTTTACTTATGTATTGCCATTTCCCCCCAAGAATTGAGTTGCATGGAGGATCGGGGTCTATTGTCTCTTCTGTTGTACACAGAGTCCCCAGCGTCCAAGCAGGGCCAGACACATAGCAAGTACTCTATGTGTGTTGAAAGTGGTTGGGAGTGAGAGGCTGTTCACAAACTCAACTGGACCTCACAAGGACTTGGACAGGGACTTGGGCAGCATCCTTTCACCTAACTTATGCTATAAAAACTGAGGGCAGAGAGGCTGCCGCATGAGCAGCCTAGCCTGATGCCCCCATGACTTCTGGGAGAAAGAGGCCTACCAGGAATGTCCGGCTCCTGGGCTCTGGAGGCCAGGGGTAATGGTTGCTATGGAAACTGAGGGCAGCTCATTGTGTGTCTGGGAGTTTTGAGGAGATGGGGATATGTGAGGGGACACCCAGGCATTGGAGCTTTGGACCTCTTGTCCCCGGATCCTCCTCATTTCCAGCCTAAAGCTGGGGGGAGGGGGAGGAATTCCCTTCCCAAGACTTTGGACAGAGACTGAGGGGGTCAGATGTGAGGCAGCTGATAAAGCAGGGTTGGGGTTGGAGGCCTGTATGGGAGGATCTGGGTCTACAGATCTGTGGTCCTTTACATTGCTGGCCCCAGGCCTTCCTCACCTTATCAGTTGGGGCAATTAAGATGTGGAAGTGCCTGCTAGATTTTTAGGAAGTTATTCTGGGAGTGGGGGTAGGAGGAGAGAAGGGAGACAGGTATGGGCAGATGAAAGGGTGCTGGTCCTTTTGGCATGGGTTTGAGTCTGATTGTATGACCTTGGATCAGTGGACTGTATGACCTTGGACCAGTCCACTCCCCCTCTTTGGGCCTCAATGTTCTCATCTGTACCTGTTGGACCGGTCTCTCTCTTCCCCTGTGACTCTGAGCGGACAGATGGAGGGAGGATCCAGCCCAACCTGCCCAGAAGCCCTTCTAGGCCAACCAGGTGGCCAGACCCAGGCAAAGGCCCAACAGGGAAAGGACACATGGCTACTCTTTGTCTCTGGGGCTTTATCAGACACGGATCTGGGGAGGAAATTCAGGCAGCCTTCCTGCTGCCAATCTGGCTAGGCCCAGGCTCCCCTCCAAATTCGGGAGGGAGGGAAGAGGCCCCAGCTGTAGGCCCAGCGCCCCCTGGCCTCTGTCCTCCACAGCAGCCCTGAGGCCATCAGTTCTAGGTCTGTCCTTGTTAGGTGCCAACGAGTCTGTACGGACTCAAAGCGACCCTATATCCATTACAGAACGAAACACTGCCTGGTCCTGGGCGAACCTCACAATCATTTTACACCTGAGCCCATTGCTACTGCCACTGCCACTCCATCTTGTTGGGGGGTCTTCCTCTTTTTCTCCAACTCTCCACTTTACCAAGCATGATACCTTTCTCCACGGACTGGTCCCTCCTGACAATATGTCTGAGCTATGAGAGACAAAGTTTGGCCATCCTGGCTTCCAAGGAGCATTCTGGCTGTATTTCTTCCAACACAGATTGGTTTGCTCTTTTGGCAGTCCATGACAGTTTTAATATTCTCCTCCAACACCATAGCTCAAATGCATCAGTTCTTCTATGGTCTTCCCTATTCATTGCCCAACTTTTTCATGCATATGAGGTTACTGAAAATACCATGGCTTGGGTCAGGCGCACCTTAGTCCTCAAGCTGACATCTTTGCTCATGAACAAATGCAATTTGTCGTTTGGTTTCTTAACTGCTGCTTCCATTAAGTGTTGACTGATTTGAGCAAATTGGAGTCTTTGGCAACTTCAATCTTTTCTCCATTTATCATGATGTGTGGTGGTCCAGTGGTGAGGATTTTTATTTTCTTTTCATTGAGGTGCAACCCATTTCCTTCAATCCTTATGCCACATTTTTCTTCACATAATACAACATCTCTGATTATTTGTTCAGCATACAGATTGAATAAGTATGGTAAAAGAATACAACTCTGGTGCACACCTTTCCTAATTTTAAACCATTCAGTGTTCCTTTGTTCTGTCTGAAAAACAGGTTCTTCATGAGTACAATTAAGTGTTCCAGAATATTCATTCTCTGAAATATTGTCCATAGCTTGTCATGATCCATACAATCAAAAACCTTTGCATAGTCAATAAAGCACAGGTAAGTATCTTTCTAGTATTTTCAACTTCTAGCCAAGATCCAGCTGATGTCAGCAATGAGCTCCTTCATTTCACGTCCTCTTTTGAATCCAGCTTGAACCTCTGGAACTTCTCTGTCAATGTATGGTTGCAGCGTTTTTGTATTATTTTTAGTAAAACGTTACTAGCGTGGGATATCAATGACACTGTCCCAAGACTTCCTGCCTTCTGTTGGATTACCTCTCTCTCTCTCTGGATCTGGGCGTGTCTAAGAAACCACGCCCACTCTCTACAGCTGCTGAAGGATGGGCTGGAGGCGGGGCCAGGATGAGGTGTTTTTTTTTCTGGAAACAGGTTAGTTCTCAGGGTCAGTTGTTGTTGTTAGGTGCCATCGAGTCGGTATCGACTCATAGTGGCCCTATGCACAACAGAATGAAACATTCCCCTGTCCTGGGCCAGCCTCACTATTGTTGCCACTTTACCAATTCATCTCGCTGGGGGGTCTTCCTCTTTTTCTCTGACCCTCCACTTTACCAAACATGATATCCTTCTCCAGCGACTGGTCCCTCCTGACAACATGTCCAAAGTATGAGAGACGAAGTCTGGCCATCCTGGCCTCCTCTGACTGCATGTCTTCCAACACAGATCTGTTGGTTCTTTTGGCAGCCCATGGCACTTTCAGTATTCTCCTCCAACACCATCATTTAAAAGCATCAATTCTTCTACGGTCTTCCTTATTCACTGCCTAGCTTTCGCATGCATATGAGGTTATTGAAAATACCATGGCTTGGGTCAGGCACACCTTTGTTCTCAAACTAACATCTTTACTCTTCAACACTTTAAAAGTGTCTTGTGCAGCAGATTTGCCTAATGTAATATGTCCTTTGATTTCTTGACTGTTGCTTCTATGAGTGTTGATAGTTGATCCAAGAAGAATGAAGTCCTTGACAACTACAATCTTTTCTCCAATGATAAGAATGTTGTTAATTGGTCCAGTTGTGAGGATTTTTGTTTTCTTTACATTGAGATGTAATCCATACTGAAGGCTGTGCTCTTTGATCTTCATCAGTAAATAATTTAAGTCCTCTTCACTTTCAGCAAGCAAGGTTGTATCATCTGCATATTGCAGGTTGTTAATGAGTCTTCCTTCAATCCTGATGCCATGTTTTTCTTCATAGAACCCAGCTTCTCGGATTATTTGCTCAGCATACAGGTTGAATAAGTATGGTGAAAGAATACAACCCTGTCTCACACCTTTCTTAAACCATTCAGTGTTCCCATGTTCTGTTCAAACAACTGCCTCTTGATCCATGTACAGATTCCTCATGAGCACAATTAAGTGTCCCGGAATACTCATACTTCGCAATGTTGTACATAGCTTGTCATGATTCACACAATCGAGGGTCGGTGGAGGGAGGAAAAGCCCCATTTAGGATGCCCTGTGAATTGGTCATAATCCCAGTTGCCACCTTGCTTCGTGGATTTCCATACCCATCCCCTCTGTTCTCCAAGACCTTTTGCCTCTCCTGAGGCCCTGGACACAGCTCCTTGGTACAAGGAGGGTGTGCAGCTATAATTCCCCAAAGATGATGCTGAGGTGCGGGTGGGGAAGGCAATGGTAATTAAAAGTTTCCTGGTAAAGTGTGTAGCTCAAAACACTGATTCTGTGGTTAGACTAGACCAGTATTCGAATCTTGATTGGGGGGGTTCTTAGGAGAATCTTTTCCTCATCTGGAGATACTATCTGGAAGAGGGATTAACCCATGGCCATAGAGTCCATTCCATACTGACCCTAGACGGAGAACTGCCCCATACGGTTTCTGAGGCCTGGTGTGGCGTTATAGGATAAGCGTTGGACTGCTAACCACAAGGTAGGCTGTTCAAACTCACCCGCCGCTCCTTGGAAACTATAGAGACTCACTAAGAGTCGACTCCATAACACTTCGCAAAAATAATCTTTACGGAATCAGGCTAGCACCGCTCAGTGACCGTTGTGTTCCAACCGCAGGCCTTTCGTTCAGGACCCAAGCGCTTAAACACAGAGCTATTGGGTCTTTTTTGGAAGCGGGATTAGGTAGAAAAATGCACGGTTTTACCATTCTTAACTACCGCCAGCCAGCTGGCGTTGTCCCTAACAGCGCAATCTCGCGACCCCGCCCCCTTCCCGCAGCCAATCAGCGGCGCCTCCCGGCCGCGGCTCTCCCACCACCGCCCCTTCCTAGGATCCTGTCGGGTTTGGGAAGGGATTCTCGAGTATTCATCCCTGGGGTTGTGACTGAGGGCCCGGAGACACATCCGGGGGTCGGAAAGTACTCGGAAATTGATCCCGAGCCCAAGGACCAAGTTGGCCTCAAAACAATTTCACAGAGGGGGAAACCCAAGGCCCAGAGAGGGTGAATTCCCACCCAAGGTCACCCCAAGACTAGGGCAGAAGGCCAGGCCAGGGTTTCCTCCGCGGAGGAGGGAATTTAGGTGTGCGTTTTTGGGGACCCAGTCCGTGCTGGCGGTGGGACCGCAGCACTGACGGTGCTGGCCAGGGGATCTAGACTGCGTTGGGAGGCTGGACTCCTGGCTGCTTCAGTGTCCCCAGCAACACCTCTGGTGGTGGAAGGAAGAAGAGACATAGCCAAACGCGAGCCTGCCAAGACAGTCCAACTATCCTTATAAGTCTCGCGTCTCTCCAGGTGTGGCCGAGCATCCTTTCTTTCGTTCGAGCTTCTCGGCGTTCGATTGGAAAGATTCAGGGATCTTGGCTTCTTGAGAACGAATTGCCTTCTCGCCTGGGCTTGCTCGGAACTGCAACTGCGCAGGCGCAAGGACAGCCAACCCAGAAGGCAGAAAAGCCGGGTCTCGTGGGCTGGGTCGGGGGCGGAGAGTGTGTGAACCAATGACTTGAAGGAGCAGGGAGGGCGGGATTAGGCTCGCAGTCACTACAAACTACCGAACTGGGCGTTTCAAGAGATGGGGTTAAGAGAGGTCCAAAGGCCCTTCGCGTCACCATCCTTCTGGCCCGCGGAAGTTAAGTAATGGAGAGGCGGGCCTAGGACCGGAAGCAGGAAGGAGGGCTCAGACAGCAGGGTTCCGCAGACAGTCTTCTGTCGCTCTGTGGGTCTGTCAGTCCGGAGGGCAGGATGGAGAAGTTGCGGCTTCTGAGCCTTCGCTACCAGGAATATGTGACTCGTCACCCTGCCGCTACGGCCCAGCTGGAGACGGCGGTGCGGGGCCTCAGTTACCTGCTGGCAGGTGCCACTCTGACCTTTGACCCATACCTTCGGGGCCCTGACCTCTAGCCCCTCTGCCCCTTTCTCTGCAGCGTCGCAGTAGTTGATGCTGAAGCTGTGCTTGGGAGGTCCCTTCCACGATCCCGTAGGGGGCAGGACAGGGACGTCTGAGGACCTGAAGCCGCAGGGTGAGCCGTTTGCTCACCCACGCCTCTTTCTTGCCTTCTCCCTAGGTCGCTTCGCAGATTCACACGAGCTGTCGGAGCTGGGTGAGCCGGGATCTGGGGTGGGTGGAGATGGGCCAGGGCCTGGGCAAGCTTCCCAGAGAGGGTGAGATCCTGGTCTGTGTTGGTTACATCACCCTGAATAGGACAAAGGTCTGTGTCACTCAAGGGATACCCCCTGAGCCCTCTGTACCCCCATAGTGGGGAGACTTGTCTGGGGACCTTGACTGAGTGTTTACTACAGAACGCACCTGTCCTGCCTTTGCCTAGTTACTTTAACCCAGTGTCCATCGAGGTGGGTGCGGCTGAGGTTAGGGACCAGCTACTGAAGGTCTTAGATACAGTATTCAAGTCCGGAGCTCTGAAACTCCAGTATCCCCAGACTGTAACAGCCCCCATATGTGTCTGCCCAGTGAGTACTGGGCATGAGGTCCCTGAGTGGACCTGCTGAGTCGTGAAAGGAGTGGGGAGGCGGGTTGCAGACATCCATGGTTGTTTTGTACTGGATGGCAGTGGCTGGTTTCTCACTGGAGAGGGGAGGCAGAAGCAGGTTGATTTCCACATAGTCTGTGGGCGTCCAAGCACAGCAGAGGACAGGTGATCCTTGCAGCTCTGGGGAGAAGATGACAGGTGGAGGCTGCTGAGCCAGCCCTTGAAACCCTGTCTGCCCCTCAGTGTACTCGGCCTCTAACCTGCTGGTGCTACTCAATGACGGAATCCTACGGAAGGAGCTCCGGAAAAAGTTGCCTGTGGTGAGGAGGTTGCCTGGAACTGGGTGTGGGAAGCAGAGGGACTCAGGAAAGCAGTAGTAACGCTCAGCAATGGCTGCAGCCCGTGGGATGGTCCCATAGAGTACAAGTCAGGCACCAGCTCATTAGGTGACAAAGTGGCCGTGGTCCCAGGTTTCAGAGACATGGAGTAGCTTGTCTCCAGGTCACCCAGCCTGTTTGGGGGAGTTGGTGTTTAAACCCAGGCCTAGACACATTGACTTGGAAAGGGGGCAGTCCACATCTGCCAGAGAGTTCCCCGGGGGAAGGACCTGGGACTCTGAGATCCCCCTGATCTCTTGGCCTGGGGGTCTTGCAGTCACTCTCCCAGCAGAAGCTGCTAACATGGCTGAGCGTGCTGGAGTGCGTGGAGGTGTTCATGGAGATGGGAGCTGCCAAGGTGTGGGGCGAAGTGGGCCGTTGGCTTGTCATCGCCCTCATCCAGCTGGCCAAGTAGGTGGGGACTGTGGAGGGCTACCTGGCCTGGAGCACCCCAAACCCCTGTCACTTCACCACACCTCCCTCTCCCGCAGGGCTGTGCTGCGGCTGTTCCTACTGATCTGGTTCAAGGCTGGCCTGCAGACCTCCCCCCCCATTGTTCCTCTGGACAGGGAGACTCAGGCTCAGCCCGCAGGTAAGCTTCCACCCCACTCTGGTGGGCACTGACGTGTGGCTTTCTAGCTGACCACCGTGAATACCGTATTTTCCATTTATGGCCCACATCTGCCTTCATCTACCAGTTTTTTACCAAAGGTCAGGTCAGGGGCAGATTCAGCCTGGCACCCAGACATCTAATGTCTTGTCTGTGGGCAGCAGGATAGGGTCCTGCCAGGCTCGGCCCTGGTGGGCTCTGGGTGCAGATGCTGCTGGCCTGGCTCCTGCCTTGGGCACTTCTTGTGCTGAGCCCCAGTCCCTGGCTACCGTTTCCTGGAATTGGCTGCCACCTTAGTCCAAGCTCTTACCCTTGTCCCCAAACTCGGGAGCTCTAGTCCCACATGTGTTCTTTGCAGGCTTTGCTGGTGTCTTGCTCCTCTAACCGTGTGGCCTTTGTCTATTCCTGTTAGATGGTGACCCCAGCCCTGGCAGCCAGGAACAGCCTTATGTGGGCAAGCGGTCAAGCCGAGTGGTACGAACCCTCCAGAACAGTAAGTGGGGGGTGTGGCTGGACTGCACACCCAGAGCCCAGGTCATGTCCCTTGGCTGGTGCGGGCCTGGCTGGCTCACCCACACCTCTTATGTTCCAGCCCCATCGCTGCACTCGAGGCACTGGGGCGCCCCCCAGCAGCGGGAGAGGCAACAGCAGCAGCAGAAACATGAGGAGCTGAGCGTCACCCCCACCCCCCTGGGCCTGCAGGGAACCATCGCCGAGACCTTGTACATTGCTCGGCCCCTGCTGCACTGTATCCTTAGCACGGGCCGGGCCAGGCCAGGGCAGCAAGGTGGGGGCAGATGGGACACTGGCACATGCTGTGCTAGAGACCTCCTTGACACCTTGGCCGTCAGTGCTCAGCCTGGGCCTCTGGGGCCAACGGTCGTGGACGCCCTGGCTCCTGTCCGGCGCAGTGGACGTGACCAGGTGAGCCTGGGTCTGTCCAGGGGCCTTGCTCCCTCACTGTGGCTGCCCAGGCCCTACTCTCGTTCAAGGCTACTAGGTCTTTGCTTCTCATCACAGTCCTGTGAACGCAAAGGGGCCTCTCCTCTGCTTATTCCACTCACCAGGGAGGCTGGCTCAGGGCTGGTGCCCATGGATGACACCCTGACCTTGACCTTGTCTCCCACCCCCAGCCTGAGCCTCCTGAGTGACAGGAAGGGGCTGACTCGGAGGGAACGGCTGGAGCTGCGGCGCCGGACCATCCTGCTTCTCTATTACCTGCTGCGTTCCCCCTTCTATGACCGCTTCTCAGAGTAAGGCTGGCCTTCTGAGTGCCCCCTTTCACCAGGGGCCAGTCCCGCCCCAGCCCTGTTCTCAGGCACGGGGTATGGATTAGGGTGGTGAGGCTGAGTTTGACAACTCCCCAAATCCACCCAGAGAGCCACATCTCAAATCTGTGGTCCCCTGGTCTGTCCTTTCCTTGTTGAGCCCCCACTCCATCCCCAGCCTCAGTCAGATACAGAAAGACCTATGTGTGTGGAGGTGGGGTGGGAGGAGGGGCCAGATCTCCTAAAAGCCTACCAGGGTGACTGACTCCAATCAGAACAAAATCTGAGGGGTCACTGCACAGTAGTTGGGGCTGTGAGAGATTGGAGGCCCCCAGAACCCCTTTGCCTGAGTTTCAGAAGTTCCCCACTTGAGACCAGACTGTCTACTGGAATTCTGTTGATTGCTAGTGCCGTATAACCTTGGTTACTTTTCTGAAATGGTAGAAAGCCTTCTTAAGGCAGATTCAGTGTTGTTGGGTGCCATCCAGTTGATTCCGACTCAGCACAGCCCGTGTGACAACGTAGGACGGCCCCCTAGCCTTCTCTTGGCTGTGGTCTTTACAGAAGCAGAGCGCCAGGTCTTTTCCCCATGGAAGGACTGAATGCGTTCGAATTACCAATCTTTGGGTTAGCAGCCAAGCCCTCACCACTCTCAGCTGTGACCTGTGAGGTTCCCTGGGATCCCTCCAGGGCTGGGCCCGAGGTGTCCTTGCGCTGAGGTGTATCCCTACACCTGCCCAGGAACTCAGTGGAAGGAAGGAAAGCAGAGAGTAGAAGAGGGAGGAGAGTGGCAGGTAGCACTAACCCGAGCTGACAGCCTCGAAGGCAGAGGCTGGGGAGGGCGGGGACCTAACCAGGCGGTCAGGGCAGGCTTTTAGCATGCCACCCAGGAGCCCTGCTGTCTCCTCTCTCCAGGACTAGGATACTCTTCCTGCTCCAGCTGCTGGCAGACCATGTCCCTGGCCTTGGCCTGGTCACAAGTAAGTGTGGGTGGGGTGGGGCTCCTGCCTGGACCCATCTCCCTTGCAGGCATTCTCTCTGCCTCCCTGGAATTTCATTCTTGGCACCGTCAGGGTTGGGTGACAGTTCCTGTGCATGGGCTAGAGTGACTGACACCCCCCCAGCAGGGAGGGCTGTTAGACCACAGTGAGCTCAAAACTGAGACCATGTGACCTGGGTAAGGGTTAGCCTGGCAGGAAGAGGCCCCGCATGCTGTTCTAAGGACCCACCTGGCAGTGCTGATGGGCTGTTCGGGTGGCAGGGGCTGAGCAGAGACACAGCCCTGAACTTATCCCCCTCTCTGGTTGCAGGGCCACTCATGGATTACTTGCCCGTCTGGCAGAAGATTTATTTCTACAACTGGGGCTGACGGCTGTTGTGGGGTGGGGTGCCAGGGAGAAGGGCAGCTCCTCTGCTGCTGGGGTCTGCCTCAGCCCCGTGGTCCCCCGGCCCCGCCATCCCTAATAAAACTGACTCTTGCCATACCCAAGCATGTGGCCTCTCTCTGCCCACAGCCAGGATACCTGGCATTGGCCGCCTGACTGGGCTCTGCCCACAGCCCTGCTCCCCACCAGCTTATCTCCTCATGCCCTCCAGCAGCGGAGCCCTGCAGCCACACTGCCCCTGCATCTGAAAGCCACCATGAAGGGACCCAGGTTCCTGTAGCCACCAAGAGCTATTGGACACTCAACAGCCCCAGAACCTCCGTCCAGCCCGGGGAGTGGAGCTGCAGAGGCAAACTGCTCCCTCCCTCCGCTGTCAGACTGGATGGAGCGGCCACCCTGCATGATGCAGCCTGCTGGGTGGAGGGACCCACCTGGTGCCACTGCAGAGGGGTCCCCACTGCAGACATCCCCTTTAACCCAGCACCCCCAGTCCAGACCACTTTAGTTCACTCTTTTGAATCGTAGCAACCCAAGCTAGCTCACCTGAAGTGAGGCAGCACCCAGCTGCTAGGTGGGCACAAGGGGCTTTTCTCCCATAGTAAGACTGGAGGAGAGCTGCAGGCAGACTCCCAGGGAATGGGTAAGGGGTCTCTGTTCCTCACCTTGCAGCTCACTGCTTCTCGGGGGGCCAAGTCCACACTCCTCCCAACCACCCCATTTACCCTGTGCCCTCTACCCTGTAGACCACCCATCTCTCCTGCTGGAGCTTTAAGAAGATGTTTTTAAGTGCCATAGAGTTGATTTTGACCCATAGTGACCCTGTCTAGGGTTACCAAGGAGCACCTGGTGAGCTTGAACCACTGATCTTGCAGTTCAAATGACTTTGCCGTCTGACACATCAGTCCACAACTGCACACCAGGCTCTGTGCCTCTAGCTCCTCCCAGGTACCCTGGTTAGAGCACCACCCTCAGGGAGGTGCCTTCCACTCTGATGATGTCACTGTCCCCACCCCAGTTCTGGGGGGGGGGGGGTTTGATAATGTGCTGACCCACAGGACGGGGAAAAGGGCTGGGCTTAGGGTCAGGGCCAGAGCTCCAGGCTCCATGGTCTGTTGAGCTGAAGCAGTGTCACTGGGCACTGAACCATTGGGTGCTGCCCAATCAGAAATGAGGGCGGTGTTTGCTCTCCTCAAGTTTTCATTAAGAGGAGGAAACACCTGTAAACATAGGGTGCAGTGGATACATGTGCACACAATACTGCCAGCTTTGTAAAATGGAGTGTGTTCCACAGACAGGCGGATGGGGATTTGTGTAGGAAGTGCCTATCAGGTGTGAGGCACTATTATGGCCAGAGGGGAGGGTGGGGGGCAGTGGGTGGATGAAGCTGGAAAGGCAGCCCTGCAGCAGTACCATCACCTGTCCCGGCCAGAAACGAGGGTCCAGCCTGGTGGAGGAGGGGACAATGGGGGCATAGACCCACGGTAGTCCAACTAGGGAGATGAGGATGTAACCCAAGCAAGCTTGGGTACTACGGACCAAAAGCTATAGGGAGGTGTCTAAGAGGGAGAGCCAAGGGCAGGAGCTTCAGAACAAGATGGCATGAACTGGGTTCTTGGTGGGATGAACCTCAGTGGAGGCAGAGGTCACAAAGGTTCACTTGGAGGTAAGCTGTGAAGTCGGGTCTGTAGACTGAGGAAACATCAGAACTTGTCAGCTTCCAGGGAGTGTGAAGAGGCCACTCAAGGGGAGATGGGCCTAAGGAACCACTCAAGTTAAAGTGGATGGGTCAGTCTAGATTCCTTCAGAAGTCACCACTTGGATTAAGGAGGACCAGAGCCTTTCAGGAGCGGCTGCAGCTCTACCTCAGATCTTCGAGTGACTGTTTCCCACCACACTTGTCAGGCTGCATACATACTCAACAAGTATTTATTGAGCCCCTGCTAGGTGTCCAGTGCCAGGGATTCTGTGTGAACAAAACTTGGTCATCCCTGCCCTGGTGACACATCCGCTCTACAGGGAGCAGGTTCAGGGTTTTGCTTGCCCCTTCCTCCAGCCTTGGGATGGCAGCAGGGCCCCGTGGTGTGGTGTTCCCCTCCCACCCCATCCTGAGAGCTGGAGGTAGAGTCTACACTACCCTCTCCCTAGGGAGATCACAGAGTAGGTCAGGGTTGTGACCCTCTCGGGTTCTCCAGCTGACAGCCTTCCTGGGACCACAGAAAGCACAAGGTGGCCGGGAAGGAGGCTGATGGAAAAGCCTGGCCTGAGGTACAGGCCTACTGTGTGCCAAACCTTGTTGGGCACACTAGACATTCCTCCCCGATTTCTCACAGGTGAGGAGCCTGAGGCACACATTGCATTCCCACCCATTCATCAAGGCAAAGGCAGAATCAAACAGGCCAGTTCAGCTCCAAGGTCTGTGCCCTCGGTCCTCGATGGTGACTCTTAACAGGGTTTGGTTTGGCTCCGATGCTCTACAGCGTCAGTAAACAGACCTGGCACCTCAGTATAGAGCTTTGTGGCCCGGCTCTGAGCTGTTGCTGAGCCCTTTGTGAGGTGGCCCCGGGTGTCCAGGGAACAGGCTCCGTCCTAGTGGTGGGGGAGGGGTGGAGGCTGGACCCAGGGACCTTGTAGGAGATGGTTCTCACCATGCTGGGGGCTTTGTACCCCAGAGCTGGCCTGAGCCTGTTCCTCCTCTACCTCGTCCTGGCAGCTGCACTCCTCGGCCCCCAGCCTCTGAGGTAACGTTTGGGGGCTACACAGGGGCCCAAGGGCCTTTAGATTGGAGGCCTGCTGGACTGTTGTCCCACTCCCAGGGAGGTGGTTGTGGTGGCAGCCCGAGAGTCCGCTCTGCCTTTGGGTAGAGCTGAGCCACTCCAACGTCCCCTCCAGGTCTCAGAGGTCTGTTCCTGAGGAGTTGTCAGGTCCCCTGGAACTCTCGGAACCCCTTTCCGGCCTGGTGGATGGTAGGGTCTTTAGTCTGTTCCCTCTGCCCCCTCCGCTCCCAGTGGGAGGGCACAGGACCAACCTCACAGTCTTCCCACCCCCAACAGCACCTGTTCAAGGGTGACCTCAGCCTGCTTCACACCCAGATTCTCTCCCCGTCTAGATTATGGGGTCCGACCTAAGCACCCGTGGCCCCATGGGCCTCGGCCCCTGCTCTCTCGAGCTCAGCAGCGCAAGCGGGACGGGCCAGACATGGCTGAGTACTATTACGACGCCCACCTGTGACTGGAGCCCCTTATAAAGCTATTCTGTGCAGCACAGGCTTGAGTTTTCCTGGGCTGGGTGTGGGAGGGGTCCGAGGAGATTCGTTTGTGGTCTAGACAGGAAATGGCACTTTAATCACGGTGGCCAGGGTGACAGGACCATGAAGAGACGACAGCTGAAGCAGCCGGGGGGCCCCAGTCAGACGCCTCCTTATCCTGCCAGGCCAGGGTCCTGCTGCTGGCTCTCCCACCCCATTGACGTCCTAGGCCTCTAGGGACCAACATGCTGGCGAGATTGGAGGCGGGGACATCCTGGGGCCACGAGTGGCAGAGCTAAGAACAAGGGCCCCCCCACACCAGGTGCCATTCCTGTCCTGGAAAGTCCTCGGGAAGTGGTCAGGCTCGGCCTGAGTCCAGGGCTCTTCGGTTGGGGTCGGGGGCAGGGTGGGCACTCACAGGTGGCATGGGCATGGTCAAGGCAAGAGCCAACAGCCAGAGAGCCCAGGTGAGGCGAGTGAGGCCCTGGATGGGGCAGAACCCTCTGCTCCAAGCATGGTGGGTACCCTTCCAGGCCAGCCCTGCCCCCTCCCAACCCCAGCAGCCTGCTCATCCTCCATAGATGAAGCTAATCCATATAGTACAATAAACGGTGTGCCTCTCCCTGTAATCCCGCCCTCCTCCCCCACCCCTGGCCAGCCGTCCCCAACCCCCATCCTCAGATGGTGTGGGGGCTTCTCAGGAATGCCACCTCCTGGCCGCAGTCAGCTGTCCTGGCACTGCCTGGGGGCGGGCAGCCCTGCTACTCCAGGTAGATGTCTTCTGTGGGGCAGGTGTACTCCACAAACTGCTTGTAGAACTGCTGGAACGCTCTCCTGGACAGAAGAGGGCACACGGTGACCAAGGGGGCAGAGGACCTCGCCCTAAGGTTTCCAATCCCAGCCATAGACCAAGCTTCCTCAGTAGTGATTCATACTAAGGAAGGGTCCAGCCCACAGTTAGGAAACCTCTCCACCAGGCCACTCCAGTGCAGGAGCGAGGACTGAGAGTGGGGATGAGCTCCAGGAAGTAGCTCAGAATCCCACACACGTACCCCACGGACTCCGCCAAGACTTTGGTGGACTCCTCAGACACGAAGACGTGGCAGGCGAACCGGTGGTCGGCGGGGTGTTTGGTAATGAAGCCAAAGTACCTGTGGGGACAGGGCAGTGAGTCTGCAGACGGGCACGGCCCACTCAGGCCTCAGGCCTAACCCATACTGGTGCGAGACCACCTCAGAAGGCCTCCACCCCCCCTTCCCACTTACTTGTTGTTCTTTGGATGGTATCCACAGAAAGAGATGTTTTTTAACTGGAAAAAGTGGCTACATTTATTATTCCCCTACAGAAGAAAAGGAGAGACACAAAAGGTGGTCTCACAGCCTGTGGGGGTACAGGCAGGGGGAAGGTGAACCCCTCTTGGTGGCAAATCTAGTGAGCAAGTGGGGGCAGGGCTGGGTCAGTCACCTTGGCCTCTTGGGAGTCATCAGCCTTGACGCCTATCTTCACACCCCGCACACTGATCTCTAGGACGCAGCTGGAGGGCGGGTTAAAGTGCACGGTGAGCCGGCGAGTGGTCGCAATCTGTGGGTGATGGGGCAGGTGACGCATCAGGTGCCATCTGTCTGTCCCCTCAGCCAGAACCCCGGCTCCAAGGCTTAGGCCGCCCCTCCCACCTAGGTGAGGACAAGGACTGGACAGTGGTGGGAACCACACCGGGAAGAGCTGGGGGGGTGGGGTGGAGGGAGGGGTTCTAGGTACCTTTTGCATAGCGGCACAGAGAACGTCATTGCCCTTGTGATAGGGGACCTGGACAGAGCCCAGGAACTTCACCCAGAACTGGTCCACCCACTCGCTGCTTTTGGCCAGGGCTGCAAAGTGAGTGTGAAGTGAAGTCAATGGGAGCAGCCAAACAAAGGCGGTGAGGCACACGGCCCGACAGCCAGCAGGGGGTGCCACAACCCACAGGGCACTGCTTCACAGGGCCTCACTTTCCCCACTGTCAGACAGACGGACAGTCACCTCTGCCTGGCCTGGCAGACAGGAGGGATGGGGCCGCTGTGGGGCAGCAGCAGGGGAAGGAGACTCTACCTGCCATGTGTTCAGGCTCCTTGGTGACCTCGATGGCGTAGTAGGCAGGAAAGACACCCCGGGCCCCTGTACGCATGTTGTAGGCCTCGTACCAGTAATCCTCAGCCTGCAGCTCCACGAGCAGGGGGTCGTCCACTTCCAGCTCGAGTTCATCTTCGTGTCGAGGCACAAACCTGTCCCCAACCAGGCACGTGAGGAATCCCTTCACCTGGACCTCTGCATTCAGACCCTTTTCCTCCCACCTGCTCTGGAGCTGGGGAGCTGCAGTGGCATTGTTAGAATGTGTCAGTTCCTGGTGGAGACCAGGGCCAGTCAGCCCCATCCCCTGTCATTGAGGAGCTCAGAGGTGAGCCCCGGACAGAGCTGTAGGCTGTGTTCAGGGTGTGGTGGCGTCAGGGATGGTGCATGGTCAGGCATCACCTCTTCATCAGCCCTGGTTACCTGCGCTCAGCACAGACCAACTACACTGTGACCATCCCCACTCCATTCCGAGCATGTGGACAGGTTGTGCCTGGGGGCTGAGTGGATGATGAATGCTGGTGGTGGCAGCCAACGTGGTCAGGAGCAGGTTAGGCACCAGCCCCTGGTGAGGCAAAGGCCCAGGGGGGGACGTGGCCCTGCATGCCCTCACCTGAATATGGCCCGATGGGTCTGCTCCTGCTCCTCCCCATTGATGACGCACGAAAACAGCCCAAAGGACTCAGCACCTGCAGGCGAGGGTTGAGGTTTAGGGGGCAGGTCCTAAACAACCTTTCAGAAAAGGAACACCTCTCACTTTGGCTCTTCCCTCGGGGTGCCCCCCGCTGCCCCCGCTGCCCACTCACTGGAGGAGCGAGAGCGGCCGCTCATGAAGACATTCAGGAACTTCTTGGAGAAGTGCACATCGGCCTCATCAGGTGTGGAGTCCTCTGAGAGGCAGGCAGGGGGCCGGGGCTGGGGGGCCTCCTCGTATTCCTCCCCAATGGCCGACTCGTACGGCGAGGATGCGGAGGCACAGTTGTCATAGACGGTGGCTGAGTCACTCTCGTCACTGTAGTCCCCGAAGCAGGGCCGCAGGCTCACGAGCTCCAGCTGGGCATGCTCATCTACCACCAGCGTGTACTTGACCGAATCGTAAGACAGGGCGCTGGTGTCCGAACTCAGCGAGGCCCTTGGAGGCGGTGGTGGCTCCCCCAGGCTGCCCCGCCATCCTCCGCCCGGTGGCTCGGCCCGCTCTGGGGATGACAGGCAGTCGAAACCCTCATCCTCTTCACTGATTGAGGGGTGTGGCCTCCCAACAGCAGAGGAGTAGGCAGCGGGGTCTGGATCAGAGCTGATAGACATGCGGCTCTCAGCCGGCTGCAGGAAAGTGGAGGTGGGCTCTACGGGGTCTGGGGGCCGCTGCACGGGTGTCAGGTAGATCTCCTCAGTGGCTTCCAGTCGCACATCTGCCTGGTAGTGGATGCGGTCTCGATGCGAGTGGCCCCGGCCCCCAAGTGGGGCGGCAGGGGGACCGCTGGGAGGGGCCATCTGGGTGGCAGCAGTGCGGCGGCACGGGCTGTCGGTGGAGGTGCCGCGATCCTTCGTGGGGGCAGGGCTGCTCTGGGGGGGCAGCTCATCACTCAAGCAGATGTGCTCATGTGGAGGCGTCTGCTCCCCTGCAGAGTGGGCAGGTCAGGGCTGGAGCTAGGTGCCTGCACCCCTGACTCTCAGGTTACCTACTCCCTCCACTCCCAGCATCTCCCCCAGAAACCTAGACAAAGCCACCCCCCCAACAGGCTCTTGGCAAGCTGTGAAGCCAACTCACTCATACAGCTGATCACAGCCCCCAGCTGGGCTTGCCCAGGGCTGCAGGGTATAGCTGACCTCTACTCAGCAGGCTGGAGACTGAGGTGGGGCAGAGGTACAGGTGAGAGAAGGGGGCCTGCCTTACCTGTCTTCAGGGGTGATGATGATCGAGACACCCGATCCTGCCAACTGTGCTTCTTGCCCAGAGAATTGTTATTCAGCGTGTCCTGCACCCAGAACAAAGGGCCCTTGTGGCAGACTCGGCCAACAGTGCCCGGCACAGGGAGGCCCTGGCCCTGCCCCCTCAGGCCATCCCTAGGCACTGTGTTGCCCCCCTAACCTACCACAGGCCTCACTCTGCAGCAAATAGGAAAAGTGGCAGGTCACAGCCCTCCCCACCAGGGCTACAGGCTCGAGGTCATCCTCCCTTCCTGACTCAGGGAAGTTGGTCTTAAGGAGATGTTCTTATCATCAGCCTCACAAAGGTGGACAGGGCCTGTGTGTGTGTGTGGTGGTGGTGGTGGTGGTGCAAGGTGAGATGACCCAGCCAGAGCCCCAGGCCCAGATGTTGAGGGTTTACATGTAAGATACTCAATTCCAGCCCTTCCCTGGTGCCTGGGAGGCCAGGGTCTAGGGAAGAGGCAGAGACTACATTCTGGTTGAGCCTAGCAAATGCACAAGGAAGGGTCTCCCAGCAGCATGACAGACTGGGATGAATCACCCAAATGACAACACAATGTATTTGTCACGCTCCCCTCCGCCCCCACCCCGACCCCAATAGCCCAGGACTGAGGAGTGGCAGGCATCCGTTGTCAGCAGCTCTCCTCCTTTCAGGATCTCCTGGGATACCCATCCACCATCGCAGCCTCTTGGGACCTCTGCCACAATACCTCCATACCAGGCTGCCGACACAATCAGACCCCTTCCTCTGGGAACACCCTCACCAGCTCCCACAAGCCCTCACATTCATGAGTCTGATTGCCAAGACCCACTTCAGAGGATGCTGGGAAAGGGACCAAGCCCTTTCCCTGCTGCCCCTGCACCATCCACCAACAGCCCCACCTCCCCGGACACCCTCCCCCTACCTCTCCTTATAGTATCTGCCAGACAAAGGGCCACAGCGGTTCTC